CTAATCCAAAGATACACAATCAAGCAACAATATCTCTTTACCAGCTGCCTTGCCCTCTCCTCATGTTTGACATGACTCCACTGTTTCTCTAAGTCCCAGTGCCAGCAGTCAGGTGCTGGTACAGAACAAGTTCCCTTCAGCCCAGCTCCTCTGGCTCTGCTGGAACTCCCTGAATTCTCATCCCTCTGCACTCCCTGTGCAGTTCAGACATCACCCTAGTTTACCAAGCAGTATCAGCTAAATGGGCAGAAGATCAAAAATTTAACAATGCCGGTCTTAAAATGAGGAAATTTGGTTTCTTCAGCTTTGAGTCCATTGTGTCCTAGCCTTGAAATACTGAGCTGTGCAGGCACAATATCTTTTCCTCTCCAACCAAGCTTCTGCATCTCTTTTGTTCCTTGGGATACAGGTAGAACTCATGTCCTGACAATTGAGGACGAGAGGAAGGGAAATGAAGATCCGCTGGAGGAGAAACACTTGAAACTGTGCAAGGGAATGTCTCTCTGCATTTGTTATGCAGCCAGTATTGGAGGGATTGCAACTCTGACTGGGACAGGACCAAATCTGGTACTTCAAGGACAAGTTGATGAGTAAGTCTGGTTGAATGTGGGATTGCATAGCCACTAAACTGCATCATTCTGTACAAATGACTTCCAGGCAGCATAGCAAATAAAAACATCAATTTGCTAACTTTGCTGTGAACTTCTTTACTTTGTGGGCCTCACAGTACCTCCCCTTTCTAATTCATTAAGCACATACAGAAGAGAATGTGGAGTTTTGGATGCTAACAGCCACCTGCATTTTACAGGCTCTATCCTGATAATGGTGGTATCATCACCTTTGTCTCCTGGTTCTCCTTTGCCTTCCCCACCATGCTTATGCTGCTGGTTTTGGCATGGATTTGGCTCCAGATACGGTACTTGGGCTTTAAGTGAGTACCCTTCACCCTCTACAGTCCAGCTGGTGGGGCTGTGATCAAGAACTCATTGCACAAGTTGTCCTGGTCTAGTGGAAGAAGTCCCTGCCTTTGGCAGGGGGTTACAATGAGATGGTCTTCAAGGTCTCTTCCAACACAAACCATTCTGTGATTCTATTGTATTTTCCCCCATGTGCTCAGATAGCACAATTCTTTTTGTATTTCAATCATGAGCTTTTAGGGGCAGGAAGCTGCTTTCTGATTGCTTTGGCAAGCCATGGCACAATGCAGTTAGTACCCACCATGGCTGCTGATCCTATGATTATAATATATTTAATTGCAATATTCGTATATCTAAAAGATATTATGACTGAGAATAAAATTTGAATTCTTAACTGAGGCTATCTGGCATATGTCTTAGATATTTCTTTTCTGTTTTCTTCTAGTTTTAAGGAGAATTTTGGTTGTACTGGAAATTCCTCTGCCAAGGTTAAGGAACTAGAGGCCTATGCCATCATCAAGGAGGAGAACAAGAAACTGGGCAGAATGAAATTTGCAGAAATAGCAGTTTTGGTCCTCTTCATACTCCTGGTACTGCTCTGGTTTACAAGAGATCCTGGTTTTGCTCCAGGCTGGGCAACAAATCTTTTCAACAAAAAAAAAAAGTACTACCACTTCTCCTCACTTTGAATGAAATGAAATACACTGGATTTTATAAAAATTAAAACATAGCTGACTAAATATCTGACTGGTCTGTTGCAGGTATGTCACTGATGGCACAGTTGCCATCTTCATTGCAGTTTTGTTGTTCATCGTCCCTTCTGGCTTTTACAATGCACAAACAGGTGAGTTTACTGAAACATTAAAAATCAGCTATCAGAATAGGTACATGGGAAGTTTCACATTTGAGGTTTACAAAAGAAATTTTCAAATATTAAATAAGATTTCAAACTGCTCTTCCTGCATAGCTACAGCTTTCTGTTGAGGTTAGGCAAGCCATGTATCCCATAAAAATTCTCTGCTTCTCATTAACTAAGTAGGAGACTCTTATCCCAGCAGTGTTCCTGCCTCCACTATACAAATGTGTGTGTGTTCTTCTGAGGCTGGAATTTTCAGGAGAGATAATGACTTAACAGAAACACACATAGGTCTGCAGATATGTCGCCACACTTTTAGCTCACCCCTGCATTGTAATGTGCTTTTGGAAGCAGCTGCAGATCATTCATTAGTGCCTTTGCCAGTCAAGTTTTAAATCCTTTGTTGGTGAGGCTTTTAGCATCTGCTGTGGGAGGTAATTCCAGGTCTTGCTGACAGAAGGGTTCAGACTAAAGTCATGTCCCACCAAGAAGTTCTCCTTTCTCTGGAGAATGCAATTCGGTTTACAAAATCTTTTTGGATTTCAGATGGCAAGTCAAAGTTCCAAGCACCTCCACCTCTTCTGGAATGGAAAATAGTTCACCAGAAAATGCCATGGAGTATTGTGTTTCTGCTGGGAGGTGGCTTTGCCTTAGCCAAAGGCAGTGAGGTAACATTCCTTGGCTTACCTGGGATTTGTGTCTTCCTGGGCGTTTTCCACCTTACTCTTCATGCTGTCCCAGGACACAAGAGGGCACACTGGGAGCATCAAATGTGCCTTTCCTCAGCTACTGGCAGTGGGACAAACCTCACCATCCTTAGGAGTCCTGTGATTAGAACAAATCCTTATTGTTACCTGTGCAATGAGATGGTACTACCAATCAGGACAACATGATTAACCGTGTTTCTGGAAAAGTGGAGGAGATAATGTGCCCAGGATGGATCTCTAAACTGTTTCAAGTGAACTACTTATGGAAATAGGATTTAAATTAAACAGCTAAAAGATAAATTTAGAGCTTGCTAGAGAAACTTTAGGAGCAGATAAAATCATCTCGCTTTCACACTGAAGGATGTGCTACTGTACTTCTACAGGAATCTGCCAGGAGTCCAGTGCTACACATTATTTTTCAGTAATGATTTGAGTGATGGTAAATACATTTTTGAAATATATAGACAATAAAGAAACTGGAAAAGGCTTCAAGTGCCTGGAAATACTTGATTACAATTCAAAGATCAAAATTAAGTGTAAAAGTGTTTCTAGAAAACAAGGATGCAGCTCAGTTTGGGAAACAGGAGGAAATAATCAAGTATCAGAAATGTAAGATGTGAAAATGAGAGGTTGAGTTTTAAAGCTGCTCATACACCTTATTCCTGTCGGTATTTGAATATTATCACTGAGAAAAAAAGCAAACAATTGTAAACTATAGGTAGGTTCACCATACATAGGACATGTAAAATATAATCCTTCCACTCGGGCCTAAGTCCTCAGTTACAGTAATTTATTCAGTTTTGGCTATCAGTCTTCAACAATACATGGCTGTATGAAGAAAGTTTAGAGGAAGGCAGTGAGAATGGGAAACATGTTTCTTAAAGGAAAGATGTAAGAAATTAGAATAATTTATTCTAGAGTAAGTCATCAAATACAAAAGAGCTGCCGCAGAGGGCCCAGAATGACAGGGAAGATGCTTGTACCTTCGGAGGGTGTGAAAAGCTTCAGATAATTATCAAGATCTCAGATAATGTGATGAAATCTCATTAAATCACTAGAACACCTGCTAAGGTATATGGAAGTATTTCAGAAAATTATTTGAAAGATCTCTGTTTACAATTAAGAAGTGCCACAAATATTGATCATTTACAACTAATGATCTGAGCTATCAACAATACACTACAAATGTAGCATCTTCTTCTTCCAAATTCTCTGGAAGGGAAAGCATGTTTATTTCTAGGTAACCCAACAAATGAGCATGTCTAGGAAAATTGGCTCTTACATGTTTTTCTGCAGAGAGCAGTTTGTATGAGAACAGCTATGAGAAGGAAAGGTCGAATTGACAAGAGAATTGTAAATGGATTGCAATGTGGTCATTTCCTCTCCAACCTACTATCCAGACAACCTTCTTTTTTTCTGTTACAGAAATCTGGTCTTTCTGCATGGTTAGGTACCAAACTCACTCCCCTGCAGAACATCCCTCACCCAGCCATTGCTTTCCTGGTGTGTCTCCTCGTTGCCACTTTCACCGAGTGCACCAGCAACGTCGCCACCACCACCCTCTTCCTCCCTATTGTGGCTTCAATGGTAAGTTCCAGCATTTCAAAATATTCTTAAAGGAACAGATTTTAACTCTTCTCCAAGCATACATCTGCTCAATTGTCAAAATTAACTGGCTGCCATAGCCAAGCACCGGTTTGTGTATCCAAACACAGATACAAGATTTAAAACAAACATATCTGTATGTGGGTGAATATATTGTATATAAATACACTGTTCTTAGTTCAACCCTTCTAAAATCATTGCTGGTGAAGAGTAAAGGGATTAAATTCATTGGCATATTAGACTTTGCCTTCTGGCCTAAACAACCCCATGAGGTCACTGCCAGCTGTACTTGTTTTTCCCATTTTGTTCTGCGTGGAGGCAGCAACAGCAGCAGCATTTGCTTCCCTGCAACATTCCGTTACTGTATTTCACTCTGACCACTGGCCTTCCAGAAGTCTCTGAGGGTGATTGCACGACCTAACTCAGACTTTTTGCATTTCCACTGGAGATTCCTGTTGCTGGGGTAGACAGAGTTCTGCACCGTGAAAAGCTGGTTCCAGATAGAAACTGCAATATACTCTTCCAAAATCTTTTTGCATAGGCCACAGACTCCAGCAAACCCCAGAACTGATCCACTCACCTTCAGAGCGTGGGCTGCCCTGTCTCCTTGGATAATTTAATTTTGTTCTTAACCAGTTTGAAGCCACTCTACAATTTTTTCCCAGGGTTTAGAGCTGAATGCAACCGTTATTATCCACTTACACAGCAGCATCAGGAACAGAAAGCCCTGACCACAAAATCAATTCCTGCACTTGTTGCATAAAGACATGGACTAGAAGTGTCTAAAGCAGCACCAAAACGTGTGTGGCTGCAGTGTTTGATGAGGGACGAGGTTTCTGACAGAAACAGATACAATCAGTTGTCTGACAAAAGATTCATCTGCATTTCTGTGTATCAAAATCATCTTCTTTGCTCTCCCTTCCTGCACAGGCTGAAGCCATTTGCCTCAACCCACTCTATGTCATGTTGCCCTGCACACTTTCTGCATCGCTGGCGTTCATGCTCCCTGTGGCCACTCCTCCCAACGCCATTGTCTTCTCCTATGGACAGCTCAAGGTTATTGATATGGTGAGGAAAAACACGTTCTTGTCTGAATTTTTACCTCTATATTTGATCTTTCTTTTTTCTAATATTGGTTCTTCTTGTGGGACTGTTAGAAAACTCGCTGTGCTCAGCTGATGTAAAATGGAAAGAAGACACGCGTTGCATTAATAAAGGGTCACATTGACTCTCCTACACACTCAGAGCCTTATAAAGGTGCTATTGAGCTTTTAAAGAACAGCCAAGGCCTCTTGAAGATGTTCCAAGAGGAGTTGCCAATGAGAAACCGCAATGTCTAAGTGCTTGAAAAGCCCAAATGCAGAGCACAGAGGTGTCAAACAACATCTGGGCAGTTCTCCTGCAGAGATTGGGGACAGTCTGGCACATCTCAAGGGGCTGCCCTGATGCCCTGAGAAATCACTGTGTTAAAGACAGATGGACACAGATTCCATGTCTCTTGATAACTTTTCTAACTCTAGTTTTATCGAAATGAAATTCATCCCCCCCTCCTTCCCCCCCCCCGCCCCCAATAGAAATTACATTTGAGAGGAAAACCAGTTTGAAATAATTTGACGGAGTTCTGATGGAGTTGTGAAAAAAGGCCAAAGGGAATCTGTCAATACAAAGAAGCCCAACCAGCAAGAAAGAAGAGAAACTGCTCAGTTCAACTAACAGTGCTTCTTTTTTTATAATTCTAGGCCAAATCTGGATTTGTACTCAACATTCTGGGAGTTCTGACAATAACTCTTGCTCTCAATACCTGGGCTTCAACTTTGCTCCAGCTGAGAACTTTCCCATCTTGGGCAAACAAGACAGGCATGTGCCCATAACGTGGAGAGGCGAAGGAACCAGTGATTGTTCCTGTTAGAGCTGCAACGAGAGCAGGACTGCCATCCACGCCAGTTTTGCCAAGGCAGTGGTACAGAGACAGGTCTGTTCTGTGGAAAAGCGTAATCTACCCTCAAGCAAAACTGTTCTGTTGATAACAGAAATAAAATTGCTTAATAGTGCTGTATATCTGTCAATTTTGTCACCCCAGCAGTAAGATAAGGTAACCTTTGGTTTTTCTGCTGTCCAAGGAACCTTTAGATTTTCTGCAGGGATATATTCCCTGTGAAGTTTGAAATCTGCAGCAAGAAAGAGGAGCAATGTATATATATGTGTATATATATATGTATATGTATATGTATATATGTATAAAGAAGGAGAGAGACTCTGTGTTCCTGATTTCATGCATGTATTGTCACAACTAACAGCTGTATATGTGTATATGTTCAAACTGTATATGATTGTTATATACTCTTATGGGCATTGACAGCATTACAGACAGATCACATACTGTCAGCCCCTTCTATTTTTTAAATACATTTATTTACAGTCTCCTTGTTATGAATGTAAAATGTGCCATAACTGAGGTTGGGTTCAGGCAGAGCAGTTATTCAACATGTGCCCCTGAGGTTTGCACTGAAATCTTTGTTCTGTTGTTGCCTGCCTAAATTTTGCACAAGCAATGTTGCTTTTGGAAGTCCCACTCTGGTGGCATCCCCATACTGGTTCCATCAGAGTGAACATGAGGGAATTTCACTCAAAATGAGTATGTGCTCTTCAAAATCTTTCTTCTTTCTTTCTCAATCCTAAATATTAGGAGACAAGGACATTGTGCAGTGTACATTTGACTTACAAAAAGTCAGAATTCATTGACCTCCAGTAGTTTCTTTACAGTTCCAACTCTCCAGACAAATCTGGTGCCTGCTGGTTACTGATCCCTGATGGTTTCACTGGCTATTTGCTCTGGGAAATCACTGTCCTGGAAAGAACAGCCTATTATTAACCCTTCAGTGGCTTTGACAGAGGGTTTTGATGTGTGATAGGGATCCAACAGAATATTCACAGCACAAGCAGGACAGGCATTTATTCTCTGTTGCTAATGAGCTCCTGGGTAATTGATTTCAAACACATAATGACTTGTTCAGGTCACTGCTAAACCACTCTCATTTCCTTTGGCATTTAACTCTATCAAATAACATCCAAATCTCCCTAAATATTTTCACTAGCCTGCTCACCCTGTGTCTGAGGACCTAAAAATGACAGACTTTAGCAGATGATTTTCTACGAGCCTCTCCCTTCTTCTCTCTTTGTCTGCAGCACCAGGGCAGCATGCACAGCTTTTGTTTGCTTTTTGTTTTCTTTGAAACACTCGCACAGAGTTTACATGTCCTTCTAAATTACTGCTTAGCTAAGCAGGAAAGGTGGAATTCTTATAACATTTCCCATCAGCCTCTCCTTCCAGCCCTTTAAAACTGTGTCATGATTCTTTGAAGTCTTTTCTATTAGTCTACATTATTCAGAGGCTGTGGTGTGTGTAAGTACCTGCAAGGAGCACAGGTGCAATCTTTATGCCAATCTCAAGAAGAAAGGAGAGAGACATCAAGTAGCACAGAGTGTCATGGGGCCAACCCATTAATGTTGGGTGTTCCGTGTTCATTAGCATGGATGAGTGCATAAAGGTTAGAGACTTACCAGAGAATATCTGCAGTGAAAGTTACTTGAGGGGTGTACAAATGTCCAACTTCCAGAAAAAATATAGGTGAAAAGCTGGAAGAGAAGAGAAGAGAAGAGAAAAGAGGAAGAGAAGAGAAGAGAAGAGAAGAGAAGAGAAGAGAAGAGAAGAGAAGAGAAGAGAAGAGAAGAGAAGAGAAGAGAAGAGAAGAGAAGAGAAGAGAAGAGAATAAGAATACCATAAAGAGAACTGAAAATTTCACTACTAGTTTCCACCTTGAAGTGATGGTGGCACTGGGCAGTTTATTGCCTTGGGTGTGTCGGAGCTCAGGACCAGTCGACGTACAGCTAAATATAGTGTGCTTGTGCAAAACTCAGTAACACTATTAAAAATTTTCATAATTTTCTAAGCAAAGCAGGTAGAAAGTGTTTCTAAGCCCCATTATTACCCAGATCACCTTTGAAGGGTGGTTCCCCATTATGTTTCCAGATATTGCCCTCAAGGAGTGGCTCCATTTCCCATTGTGTGATCAAATTTCACAATCTGCTGTGAAACTGCCAGCTCAGCACCTGCTGTACTTAGGTGTGATTTCCAATGCAGCTCTTCGTTTCGGAGTTGACACTAAGTTTGTTTTACATAGGAGCTGTGAGTGATAAATTTGGTAATGAGAAGGGGATGTCTGCCTTTTTGCCTGCCTGGTCTAAGAAGCAAGTTCTCTACAAAACCACAAAATACAGGTTTCCCACAGTATATGCCAGTGAGTAAGTGGGTGACTCGCAGTCACCTCCTCCATTCTCCCTGGAGTTATGGTGCTGTCTTGCCTTGCCTTGCCCAGGCACACGAGCACACACACAACTTCTACAGGCACATACATGTACACCAAAGAGAATATGAAGGGCTTACCCTGGTAAACACACACATTTCTACAACCACACCGTAAAACCAGATGAGTTTTAAGCAGGCTAATGAAAATCCGCTTCCATTTGGGAAAGGCACTTCATCATAAACAGCTCGGCAGCAATTTGTGAGGTGGCACATAAGTGATGCAAGGGGCACTGAAATCATAAACAGACTTAACAGGACACATGGCAATTTGAAAGCCAAACCAGGATAAAGCCAGCACATCTTTCTAATCCTCAAATTGGTTTGGAGAAACCAAAAATTTGCTCCCAGTCACTTAAAAGGTATTAAAATGAACTTAAAGGAAATCTTGTTGTATAGCACTGACATATGAAATATGTCCAGACCTTACCATTTAATTCCTAAACTGTTTTTAGTAATAAAAATAAATAAATAACATCTACTCTGAAGGACAACTCATCATAAAATGAACACAAAATAATTAATTCTCAAAAAGTTTTCAATTATTTTCAGAAAACCAGATATAAACCAACAAAAGCATAAGGTTCTGAGTTTTATCCAAGAGTCAGCAACATATGTGTAACTATGGACCTTTCTCCAGGGGCTGTAAGAGCAGTTCCAGTCATGTCCTTGGAGGAAATTCCTCCCTTGGATAACTATGGCACGTTGGCAGCAGTGTGATTCTAAGTGCAAAACTCCAGCTCTCTCCATTTGGCTTATTTTATTCTAGGAATACAGCTCTTTGCTCTCACTGGGTTAAGCGTTTGCAAAGGCAGAAACAGAGTTTAAACTTTCTGCAATGATGAATAACTAAAGAACAGAAAACTGAAACCCAAGGACTTAAGAAATGCATAACTTGAAATCATCCAGGAACTTCACAACCCTCAGATTTTTTTCCAACGTGGGACCAATAAAACTATTTACAACCTGATTCATTGAACTTTATGGTTTGAGTTAGTAGTGACCAAGGTGCCAAAGTCTGGAAATGAAGTGGTTTGGGTGTACTAATCACCTGGTGTCCAAACTAACAACTATTTAATAGAACTTAATCACTACTGTCAATGCTGTGCATTTTCTCCTATTAAGGAAACATTTAATATTATTTATCCTTTACTCATAATAACAGACTGAAACCATCCAGGTGCCATCCAGGAGGTGCAGGTTCCCTCACCACATGTCATTTAGTGGCTGCAGATACTGCACCAGGGCATGCCCAGGGTCCCCAAATCCAGGCCAAGCACCTGGTCTGGTGTTGATTTTCCTTGCAAAACTCCCTTAAATAGCTAAGGGGGAAGGAATGGAACAAGTGAACACTTTTCAAAGGCAGCACAGGACAGCAGAGTAGAAAAATAAATAAAACTGATTTAAATTGTCGAAAAGGAAAAAAAAAAAAAAAAAAAGAAAACATCAACCCAAAGTATGAACTAATTTGAAAATAGAGAAGCAACAGAATGGTTAATTCAAAGGTTCAATCCTTATTCAATCCTTATTCAAGGTTTCAACTTTCATATATTGTTATGAATTATTTAGATCACACCAGATGCAACTGCTTCAAGGCTCAGAGCTCGTATGCCTGTGCAAGGTTTCTGTGATACAGCATTAGTCATGACTGTCTTTAGTTGGCATTAGATTTGAAATATTAATTATGGTCAACTAAAACATCAAAAATTTACTCTGCTTCAAGTTTATACCATTCAGCCAACTCCAGGTTAGTATTAAAGTGCTCCTGCCAGCCTAACAACACTACAGGAATTTCCTCACTTCTCTCGATCCCTGTCCAGTCCATGAGAAGCAGAACAATTTCAGGTTTTCCCACTGCTTACCACTGGGATCTAGGGCTTTTTATTCTTTGGAAGGGAGTGGAAAGCTCTAGGATGCCCAATTTCAGTAATTTTGCTGATCACAGAGCTTGTAATTTCTTTCTATAAAGCAAAAGGAGAAGTGGTCAGAGCTGTCCATGAAACTAATGTCTCTATTAATATGGAATTTCACAATGTGAGATGAGCAAGGTGTGTGGAGAAGGGGAATACAGTGTTGTTACAGTTAACTGTTTCAGCACCAGTTTTCCCAGTTGCCCATCTAGGGGATCTTAGACAGTGAGTACTGGTTATTCTGGGGCAGTTGTAGTGCCTGCAAAGGGAACATCACATTTCCCTTTTTGCTCTAGGACTCTCCTGATGAGACTTGCCAGAAAACTGAAAAAGGATCCTCTTTATTTTTGAGATGTCTGTCACCTGAAGGGAGTCTGAATTTTCCCCCTTGTTCTTACCTCTGGCAATATCATTCCTGCTACATGAAACACGCAATCATAAATCACTTGTCTGCATTGCAGATAACACAGTTGTACAATGTGAGCTTCCTCACACCTGTGCTTTCGCTTTCCTCCTTAGACCTAAGCAAGTAGTGTTGTGGTATTGAGAGCTACAAATGGCACAAACAGTAGTCTCAGAAGACACTACTAAACAATCTGAAATAAGCTTTGTGTAATACCTTTAGTGTTACAGCTTTGTCACTCAGGCTCCCTAGAAGACAGCAACATCATCGGAATTAGTTCTGATGACTTTTAGAGGCTTAAGAATGAAGACAGAATTTTTTTTTTGCCCCTCTAATTATTGGCAAAAGCCAGTGACCACAGCTAGCATTACAGTT